TGTTACATTTGGAATTTTTCTGTCTTGGCTGGGCTTGCTGCTTGCACGAATAAAAGTCACAAACGGTAAAAAGAAAAGGTTTTTAAATATCTCTTGTGATTTTTTTTTTTTACAGCATTTGCAGATGCTGCTGTTGATCCCATTGACTTCCCAATTGCACCTGCACATGCTATTCCCAAGGTAGGAATAAAACTGAGTGATCTTTGAAAAACAAGAGAATTCCCTAGCATGTGATCACCCCTCAGTGAATCACCCCTCAGTGGATCTTCCTGTAATTAGGATAGAAATTATAATTATGTCATAAATAGAAAGAACACCTGTTTTTCAGAGGATCAAGGCTAGAATACAGACTTTCAGAGTAACAAATTTCTCACACCTATTTTGAAAGAGAATATTGATTTATACTGCTTTCCCCAACTTTGGGCTTGTTTACCCTTTGGAAGCTTTGCAGCGAGGATGGCTAAAAGGCAAAATAAACACAGTTACACAAGTTCAGACGAGTTCAAAAAGGAGCTGAGGGCAAGTGCAGGCGTGAGGCGATACTGTATCAGCCTAAAGGTACTTACTGGAGCAGCGGTCTTGGTGTAAGCGTGACCAAAACGTATTCTTGGCGCAGGGTTCTCTCAGCTCCTGTGCTTCAGTACCTCGGTTCTGCTTTTTCCATCTGACAAAGAGGTTCCAAAGTGTGAACTTGAAACTGACTATGGGCAGCCTGAGTCACCGACTTCAAAATAAGTAATAGTAATTATTTTTATCATTATTTCTAGATTCTAAGTGAGACAGGCCTGAAAAAAGAAGATATTGCAATGTGGGAAATCAACGAAGCTTTCAGTGTTGTGGTGCTGGCCAATATTAAAATGCTGGGTATCGATCCACAAAAAGTGAATATTAACGGAGGTGCTGTCTCTCTGGGACATCCAATAGGGTAAGCAGAATAAGCACTGGGTGTTGTTCTGCACGGAGGCACTGGTTTCTAGGCACACTGCTAACACGTTTACTTTCATTCTCAAATTTAATGTAAGTAGAAAGGGTCATAGAAATTTGCTATCAAGTACATAGTGAATAATCATAGTCAACAGCAACTTAATTCAGGTGTTACATTTCAGGGAGCCTTGGAAAGAGCACGATCCCATTTTTCTCTTCACAGTTAGCTATCACCTACTTTTATAAAGAGCTTGCTTGTTACCACAGCTATATGGATTAACGAAGTATTAAAACCAAATCACTATGAACATGACAGAGTAAACAGTAATAATCAAGTAGTTAAGCTAATGAAATTTACAGGTAAACTCAGGAACTAATGGCAAACGATATGGGACAGGGACTTTTACTTTTCTTACATGAGCAAAGTGAAATTCCGGGTCTTGTCAAAATATTTTTGGCAGTGAATCCCGAAGTCTCCAAGCCTCTAATGCAGCAGGCAGGGAAAGTCTGGGAGATGTTGGTGAGTCTTTTGTTTGAAGTTCTGTCCTCTAGCGAGAGGAGTCAGATCACCTGCAGTGTTCCCCAGCAGCTGTAACTTACTCATGACTGAAGTATATCCCATTAATCATCCCTAAGAGTGATCACGCTGCACGGTTCAGGTCTATGAGGGAAAACACGTTTCAAAGCATCTAAGTAAACAGATGTGGAGTAACCACGTTGTACATCAGGGACAAGCAGAACCACTTCATGGTTCATAAAAAGCTCTAATCAAGGCATAATCCCGCAAGACATGCGGACATCTCCTTGCAGTATCCGCTGCTTCTGATCAGGGACTATGAGTTCCGTTGTCTTAAAAGTAAATTTCGTCAGTCTAATGACAGAATTTCAACGTCTGATTTTGCTCATTAGGTGGATCAAAGTAACATACTGCAGTATATAAAGCTGTAAGCAAAGAAGAAACTGTTTGAAATTAATTGTTAGTATCAATTTGGTTTTCCTGGTAATTTGTTACCTTGAAAGAACTTTGCTCCATGTAGAGATACCTTGTAATATACCGACTGGCTTAGGGGTGATCTTCAGAAGAACTTTAGATAATGGAGTTTCTGTTTGTGTATCTATAACAGTCTTTGTTTGTTAAGTACTGAAGCTAGAAAAAAACCCAAACCTCTACTGCATCTAAATGTAGATGAAAGGGTTGGTTTGGTCTTTTTGCTGGTGGGTTGGTGGGTTTTTCCCCTCCAGTGATTCGGTACTATGGTTCTGTCAACGATCCTGCGTGGGTCAAATTAAGAATTTCCTTTGAACTAAACTATATACATTTTTTCTTTTATTTAGAATGTCTGGAGCAAGAATCGTTGTTCACATGGCCCACGTGTTGAAACAAGGACAATACGGTCTCGCAGGAATTTGCAATGGAGGAGGAGGTGCTTCTGCAATACTGATAGAGAAGCTGTAGGCCCCAGTAGCGTTGGGAGCAAAGCCTTAAACACTCCCATCAAAACGATGAGTCGTACTTGTTACATCTTATTTATCGATAAGTGGATGAATTCCTTAACTGCTATTGTGAAATCTTTTAAACCACCATTGATTACTGGTACAGACAACTGGGCTTTTATTACTTTGACTCAGTGCGAGTTTTTATACAGTACAAGTAAAAAACGTCAAATTCTGAAAAGGTCTCGAGACCTGACAATAAAGAATGTTTGCTAACTGCGGCTCCTCTGTCACTGACCTACGGTTTCTCAAGTACCACCGAAAATGAATTCTCTTGGGGACTCACGTGGTGCTTCTACTAGAAGCAGCCAGTTTCTGGTATTTTTGTTGCTTGATTTCCCTAACTGCTAAGTGATTTTCAAGGAAAAAGTCACTTCACTCAAAGGCTGGTTTTCTGCTGTTGTGCTCCTTGAAGCCAGGTCAAATACAAAACAGGAGCACTGCTGTAGCACTGCCTCACCCGGCCTTGGGGCGCAGTATCACAGCAAACTAGAAGAGATGGTGGCACAACTTCACACAACGTACCACCGCGACCTCAAAATGCTGCTGCGCCTTTTTTGTTCCTCTGAACCTCTGTGACGCACAGTTCTGTCGATAGGCTTTTAGGTGGAGGTGGATTCAGGACGGGAAGAGCACAGTTACCCTCTGCCCAATAACTGGCTATGCTCTTGAATTCACAGTTAAGTCATCAGGAGTACGGGGTTAAGCATTCCTACTGCAGGTATGGGAAGACAGGAAAATACTTTCCTGGAATGAAGCTTGTTCAAGACTTCATTGAGAAGTTTATCCAGTTTCTTCAGCAGGCGTTTTACCAGAGGGCAAAAATTGGCTCTTTCACCAGTATAAAGCCTATTCCCACCTCACCCTTTTAATAGGGGACAAGCATCAAACAATTGCAAGTTTCTTAGCAGTTGCCCTAAATCCCAGCTTTCTTATCATCTTTACCCACTGATTGGCCTTACATTTTCCTCTGTAAAGTAGGAGGAATAAATACTTTGACTGGGACATAGTGGGATCTGTTTTTTTTCTGGGAAGGAACGTACTTGTAGAGATAGCAAATGAAGAGTGGGGTTTAAATGCGACATACTAAGAAAATTAACCTTCATTGATGCTCTGACACTTGTTCTTCTGAAAATTATTTGCCCTACGACAGCAAATGGAACAGAAGATGCTTCTTCCTTTGAAAGTGTAATTGAACTGATAATTCACATCTTCAGTATACCAGACCCTCTGAATTGAAAAAGGAAAGACTATGGTGGATGTTGGCTGTCCCATGAAAGAGCTACACTGTGTCTCAAATAAATAGCAAATCTATGAAAAATATCACATACTAACTGTCAGAATACCATTAAGCATAAAATGCCACCACGTAGCTGAGAGAATTGTTTTTGCCACTCTGACAAGTGCTGCTGTTAGAACTTAGTGTTTAATACTGAACTCTTCGTCTTAAAAAACAATTGATCAACACGACTTTTCTATACAATATCCGCAGAGCTGCTCAGTTGACTCACTCACAAAACATTAAGCAAGACACATAACTTTTTATTAAAACAAAAATATTTATTCAAGCTGTAAATGCTATGCAGTATTTATTTATTGGATGGGTTTAATATAAACATCTACTGCATATAATATTGGTTCCTTAGGAATCCTTGTATACTATCTGAACCATTGCCCTGTTGCTGTACAGATCTCTTGGAAGAAAACGTTCGTTTTTTAAGACCTCAACTGTTTGAGAACAAAGGAGGAAACACCAGTAGAGGAAATTTTGCAGTATTAGAGCGAGGCTTAGCGTGGTAATTTTCACCCATGCTAATTATTACCAAAATGCAGGCCAAGCTTCTCCTGGGCCTGTTTGGAAGCGGGTTTCTGTAACAGCTATGACAAATTCTACGTTAAACAGAAAGATGAGATGCAAATTTTTCCATGTCTGGCTAAAAGCATAAGTGATATTAACCAACGCTTTCTGAACAGTACAAATAAGAGAACCGACTTTCGCAACAGAACACGCTGAGATTCTTGTCTGGCTTTTGCTACAGTTTAAGTGTTCACACTGGAGTATGAATACGGGGGTCAACCCACAAGGAAGTAAACTGTTTGCCAACAGCTCCTGCATTCAAACGAGATCCTGTGCAGCAAACCCTGGGAACAGATGAGGCCTGTCCAAATTAGAGTTCTTATCTGAATGACTGTCTGGGAAAAGCTTCATTAGATCAGAAATACTTTTGGCTGTTTTACTGGCCTCACGTTTAGTTACTGGTATTTTTGTTAACTCATTCAAAGCCTGACAACGTGGGTTTGACTGTTATAAGAGAAAAGAGTGTTGGTACAAGCCAGTTACGCCTGAAGATTAAGTCCCTTTCGGATTCAGCAAGCCAACGGGAAGCAGCCAGGTGAGCTGCCCGTGTCTTAGAAGAGCGAGCTACAAACACCACTGCCAAAT